GAATTGTTATTTATCTTTACATATTTAGTTTATTGAGTTGTACTATATATTGATGGTTTCTCAATGAATAAAAAAACAACTCCCAATTCTATCATTCTCTAGATTTTCTTCTGGATATACTGGACAGCTTCGAGGAGACAATATTTTGGTATGCAGATCCTGGAAGCATGTCAGGAAATTCAACGCGTTCTGGATCATTCATGAGGATACTTCAGCATCAGCCTCAAGAAGTAGATGAAAAATGGTGGTTGCCGGTTCCTTGTGTTCCTTCTACTGGCCCATCTGAGAAATCAATGAAACATTTGTTCCAAAAGCGCGATTGTGCCTACCAAATTCACAAAGTTTCACTGTCCATCAATAATAGCATTCTTGCTGAAATGGAGATACCCGAATCATACCTTGCAACTCTGCCTAAGGTAGGTTGGCACCACGAATTTTTCATAACAATTGCATAGACCAGAAAACTTTTAGTAATCAATTCTCTAACATCATTTTTGGTGATTCTAGAATGGAAAAGCAAGTGTGGGAGATAATATTTACCGCTACATGTATACCACAGTAAAATTTTCCCCGGGTTGTCTTCTTGATTCTCTTGATATAGGCTCTGAACATGAGGCACTTGAGTTTGCAGACAAGGTAGAGGCGTGATTTTAAGAATATATGTCGTGGGTTTAATTCCAGGTCGTCAGATTTAATGGAGAAGGTTTGCCACGTTTGCTTACCATTATACACGTGTAATTTTCCGTTTATTTGGAGAGATGTGAGTTAAATGAGTGATGGATGGATAATTATATGTAAAGATGAGTGATTATTTGGTAAATCGTTAAAGATGAGTGAGTGAGTAGTAACAATTATACAAAATTTACTGATTAACTCCAACTTATACAAAAGTCATTCCGCCATTACCATCAACTATCAAGAAAAAAAAAAGTCGAATCCAACCCGAAAAGCTTGGGATATAATCAACAGGCAGAGCTTGTACAGGTGCTGAGGCTACTTTCATCCCAGAATTCTTGACTAAGAGTGGCATTATGAACACTCCAATCATGGTACACTGCTGGTGAACAAAAATACTTCACCAATACCTCGACTCTTTTCATTTCTCATCTGCTAGCCCGATGGAAGAAGATTGGCAGATATCATCAAACCTGGGTGCGTAAACACCGACCCCAACTTCTCCAACAAGCTTAGGGGAACAGACATCAGCTACCCAGGTGGCCTATGGTTAGATCCACACGGATGGGAATCCGGCTATCTAGAAAATATCAAGGAGTCGAGGACAAAAGAGATCAAGAATGGAAGATTGTCCATGGTAGCCGTGATGAGCGCATGATTTCAACATATATATATGCGGGAACATGATCCATTGACAACCTCTTCGCTCACCTGGCTGATCCTGGTCATGCTACAATTTTTGCTGTAAGTACAACCTAGAGACTTAAAGAATTAGCTCTACCTGAAATTATACATGAATATGCATGCCTATGATAAGGCATAGGTAAATTAGACTACACATAAATATGATAGCATATAACTAACGGAAAATGTAGACTTCATGAACCTTTGGTAAGAACCATGCACAAAATGCATATGAAATTGATGGTGACATATCGGAAGCAGACTATATGAAATAATGTTACTTATGGTGTCACAGGCTTTCAGCTCCGAGTGATGGAAGACTAATCCAGCTCACTTTCACAATATTGTTGGAGAAACACCAGCAGACATCACAGCATAGAAGAGAGGATTTACAGTGTTTTCCAATTTTTGCATCATTACTAATGCATTTGGCTTTCTCTACTTTCGATCCAGTGTACAAATACCTCCATGGAATCCCAATCCCATAAATATAGTTCGGGTCCCTTGCGAATTCTCTATGTTCATCATGGTAATTGGTAAAGAAAAATCCTAGATAAATCTAAGTCAATGAAACTCGGGGAAGCTAGTTAAACAATAAGATCCAACATTAATCAGACAGATCGAAAGAAAGAAAATATCCATTTTCGGATGAATTGAGTTATAAGCTAACTGATAAACCAAGCAATGAATCAATCTCTTGGTTCAGACTTCTTATCATCTGATTCTCAGCGGTTTTGGTTCAACGAACTCAAACCAGCCAGTGAACTGAATAAATTTTGGACGTAAAGAGTATAATTTATTTTGAAAAATGCTATATGCATGGACTTCAATATATTTCAGATTACATTACTTTAATATTTCTCTCTCGAAATCACTGGCGATATTAAATGATAACAAATATAATAAATCTTGTATAGGATTTCAGGATCCATAACCAACCCATATCAGACCGAGCAGTTACGCTCAAGTTCTTTCGCAAAGGTAAGCTGGAAAAAAGTTCAACAATTTTCTCATGATCAGTTCAATGGTGTACGATACATGTTAATCATCGACCATTAACTATACAACAAATAACTAATAAGTTGGATTAAGAGTCCCGTGTTTTGATAAACCAATCTTTATCTTTTCCTTAGCGTAAGAAGAAAATATGGTATTCGAGTGTGATTCAAGTGCTTGAATTATTTGCTACTTGAACTTCAACGCAAGATGTATTTGACGAGTTCCTACTTGATCCAAAAATTGAACACTTGGGCTTGAATATAGGCTCAAATTGAGACTATTCTGATTCAAGATCAACCTGTCCAATTCAAAATCAGTCTGATAGAAGAGATATTCTGAAACAGAGATGTCTAAGGAGCTGCTCGTTTAGATCGGACCATAATATATCACTTTATACTACTATCAACATATAAAGACTACCAGAGAGCAACTAGAATCAAAGGTCCCATACAATGCATGCTTTTAACATGGTTCTTTTAGCACTTACAAGTCTGCTCAACCCACATTTCATACATGATGTTCTCCCTGAACCCCAAAAAGGACCGGGGGAAAAAAAAAGTGCGCAGAAAATGTCTAATTCAGGAGGTTCACAAGTTAGCAGTGCAAATATAGCGATACCTTTGTTAAAGGTAGAAACTCACTTGAAGGCATAAACTCCAGCACATTATATGGATGTGTTTGACACCCATTTTGGAGAAAGAATAAATTCTGGAATATTGATTTATGGAAGAATGTGTAGTTTAAAAGTAAGGAAAATTTTTGGGTTTATGTGTAATATTATTTTATTGATAAAATATGTGGTTGAAATGAAAAATGAAAAAAGAAAAAAAATGAGAATGTGAATGAAATGAAAATGGGTGTCGAACAGGGACATAATATCTAAGCAGCAATATATACCCTAGCCACGACCTTTGGCTCGTGAGCCAACTCGACTGAACTCATTTACATCCCTAAATGTAGTAAACAATTTATCAAAGATTTGATCAATTTTCATCATTAAGAATGGATTGTGCAATTGCACTAAAAGGTTGACGGCTAATTTGCTCACTTACAAAATAGACCGGATGAGCAAAATAATTTGCTAATTTGTAAGAATAGAAGGCTGGAGCATGCATCAGTTCTTTACTTTTCGACAATCTACTTTTATTCTTCGAGAACTTGTGAGGCCTATGATTTTAAAAAGCTTAGAAATTTTCTTCTTTTTACATAGTTCAAAAAAGGTTACTTTCAATAATTCGGGGTTACTAGCAGCACCTAATAGATGACCAGAGAATATATAATGGTACTGCGGACATGAATCCATAATAAGAATAAAACGATATTTCAAGTTTCTAAAATATATAGTTTGCTTTAGCACGTCTATAGTAAGCAAATTAGTGGTTATGGCAAGATGATTTCTAGGCAATTACGTCATTTCTAAATGTGCAATTCACATATTAACCAATCCGTCTTAGTCTGTAATTGAGGCCCAAAACATCATAATTTTTCGAAAACAATGCTGCTCCAATCACAGCTGTTCCTGTTCACATGACCTGCACAAAACAATATGCTTCAGATAACTAACTTTTCCAATTTTAGAAACAAAAAGGTACTTTTGAGTAACTTTTACTTATTTCTAAGCTTAGCCAAATATGTTCGAACCATCATATAACCCTTTTAGAAAGAGTCTTAACATAGTGAGTTGGTCGAAGATGCAGTGCATTGTTTTGGAAGAAGTAAACTTAGGAACTTGCTAACCTTAATATCAAACTTCGTAATGCTCAGACCGAATGCACTAAAATTTGAATGGTCAGTTCTGCACATTTGAGTAAAAATCTGCCTCGTATGGTGCTTTGAAAAGCTGGATTTCCTGAAAGGTACCATTTTGGGGCAAGGCATGAATACGAGGCTGAGTCGGCTGCTGTGCAGTCTGCCAAAATTCTGCAGAAGCGAGGGGCAAGCCTTCTGGGATTACTTGCATTACAGGCTGAGGCATTCTGGTGCCACTTTCGTTGATAGGGTTGTTTGGTATAATGGATTCGGGCTCACGTGAACCCCAGGAATTACTTGACAGAAGAGAGAGAGCACAATGGTACTCCTGTGCTGCATCTAAACGGGATGAGAAGATGGATCCCTTAAAACCTGGGTAGAAAACATTATAAAATATTCACCTAAAATGATGCAAATCAAGTTCCACCTCATATTATCAAAAATAATTATTGAACACCTTTCCTCTTAGATAACCGGGTCATAGGGAATGGAATATTAGCATAGAAGCTTATCTACGTTTTGGTTTGCAGCATGGAACATGACTAGATAATACAAAAGGCAAGCTTTAAACTTCTTTTCTAATACTGTCCAAGGGTCAGTCAATAGTTTAATACCTATCCTCAGGTTCTAAAATTCAAAATTCCAGAATGCTGGTAAAACTCTAGGTTTTGCTACACCTTTGATAGGCGATAGGGGCAGCATTTAGGTACAGTCTGTATGCCCTCACTCATAGAACACCTTATTCCATGATTTTCTGCAGGTTGTCATCTTTTAGAACTCTATAAGCAACGAACATTAATTACTTAGAAATTACAGTCTTGCATCCACTGATACCATTATCATGCATTCATGCCATATACCATCTACTAAAAGATATGCATTTTCTGCGCCTGATAGTTTCCAAAATGAAGATGCTAAGGTGGTAGATTAAAAAGATAAAATCTGAGGGGTGAGGTGAGGGGTTGAAGATAATCTGAGAGAGAGAGAGAGAGAGAGAGCATGTTTCGGTGCAGTTAAAAGGTGCTTTTATTGGATTAAGATACTTCAGACCATTCTCCAAATCTACTTCTCAAGAAATTTTGACCTTGTTTTAAACTCAAACTGGTTAATATATATATACCTTTCCATGAATTAAAGTTTCAGACAAACACACTTGGACCTGAAGCTTGATTAGTTTTTTGTTTAGTTGAATGGTAAGTACACAAAAGTTTTCCTCCCTCTGATTGGTGAAAATATATTATTTCATGGTCTAAGGAAGTTTTTAAATTGGAGAACCCTCTATTAAGAAAGACTAGGCGAAACCTCAAATCCTTGGACAAAAGACAAGTGAAAGTAGATCGGTTTAGCAAAAACCTGAGAATCTTTATAGATGATTCACCAAAAGATGAAGTGTTGCTAGTACAATAAGGCACTATTTGTCTCTTAAATAATTCAACCAATTACGAACTTGAACTACTAGATTTTGTCTTCATTACATTTCATTTTCCAGGACTTCCTGGCTCTATTCTCGTTCTCCAATAAACAGACATCCACAAGTGCATTCTCAAGCTTAGCCAAACATGCTATTAGTGTGATGGCTTCGATTTTGACCTCCCCTACATTTAAGAATCTTCATTCATCTGAATTTCTCTTTTCGTTTTAATTAGTGTGTTGGTATCAATCAATTTGGATCGCATTGGAAAAGTTATAGACGTGAGATCCTTCAAGTGTCACATCATGTTTAATCTGCTTTCAATGTGGGTGTGTTCTGGCGTAAATGTTCAATCATCATGATAGACTCAGAAATTACTTCACGAAAATTCTTATTGCTGTCAACAGGTGTCACCTCGAGTTTAATCCACCGAGCGTGGTTTTGTTCTGGCCTAAATATTTAGCCCTGTTTGACAACCATTTTTTTTGTAAATGAGTTTTTGGATAGCAATTTTTTGGAGAGAGTGGTTAAAAAGTAGGAAAAGTTTTGGGTTTACGTGAAGGATATTTTATTGTGAGAATGTGTGGTTGAAAATGAGTACGAGAAAAAAAGAGTTTTGCGAGAATGATTACCAAACATGGGCTCAATCTGCGTAACAGACTCAAAAATTATTATGGAGGAAGAAAAACCTACGATTAGCAATCTGCATTGTTACTGGTAAATCAAATGTTCAAGGCTTTACGCAGACATCAATAAATAGGAACTTAGATATCCACAATTAGAGCAATAAATCATCCTCTAGACTACACATAGAA